GTAGGAGCTCCTCAGTGTTGTCTGCAGCTACAACAAATGATCTGCCAGCACACCTTCCACCAGCCTAGCAGCCTCTTCACCACCTGCCTTTGGACCTCTGGCCTCACCTTGCTCATAATGGACCCCAACTGCTCCTGCACCACTGGTGGCTCTTGTACCCGTACTAGCTTCTGCAAATGTGAAGAGTGCAAATGCACCTCCTCCAAGAAGAGTTGCTGCTCCTATACTGCCCTGTGAGCTTTACTAAGTGCAACCAGTGCTGCATCTGCAAAAGGGCATCAAACAAGGGCAGATGCTGCCCCTGACAGGGGAGAGTCCTACACTCAGAACCTCTACAAACTGGATTTTTTCTCATACAACCCTAATCTGTTTGCTACCTACATCCATTTTTCTATGAACAATAATAAAGTGTTGACATTAAAAAAAGAAGATGAAGAAAGAAAAAAATTACATGTTATTAATACTGATAATCGAGCCTACTTAAAAATACAAACCCAATATCCCCCGAGAGGGCGAGAACATCTCCTAAATTCAGTTCAATTCATCCAGCATAAGGAGTCCCTGGGTGGCACAAATGGTCAAGCCAAAAAGTTGGTGATTTGAACCCACTCAGAAATGTCTGGGAAGACAGGCTTGGCAACCTGCTTCCAAAAGGTCAGAGCCTTGGAAAGTCCATGGAGTAGTTCTACTCTAAACGGAAAATTGCAGTGAGTCAAAAGTAACTTGATGGCAACTAATACCACCACCAGCCAGTATGCACTTGCTGTATGTCATCACTTTGCTTGAAACCATGGCTTAGGACCCACCCCAGATTACGGGGAACTAACTATCTGTTAAGGAGCCCTGGTAGAGCACTGGTTAAGTGCTTAGCTGCTAACTGAACCCACCAGCCACTCCACAGAATAAAGATGTAGCAGTTTACTTTTGTACAGACTATAGCATTAGAAACGCTATGGGGGAGTTCTGCTCTGTCCTAAAGGGTTCCTATGAGTCAGAATCTACTTGACAGCAACTGGTTTAGTTTTTATGTTTAAATACATGTTAGAGTCACAAGACAGACACATGTAAAACAGTATGAGTAACAGAAAACTATAAATGACTATGGCCCAAAATGATACGTGCAAACAAACAACATATCTCAGAAGTTGAGAGGAAGGGGTGATCACAGTGCATGGAAATGGTTTAGGAAGGTTTTCTGAACGGGACAGCTCAGGGGCTGGAGTTCAAGAGGTGGGAATGACTGACGGTAGTCTGACAGAATGTAGTAGAGTAGTGGGTAGAGATGAGAAAGTCAGGAAATGGAGGCAGGGACACTAGACAGGGGTCACCTGAAAGTTAGTGTCCACAACGCCTATTGGGTAGATAAATCTCTACCTTCAAACAAATCCATTACCAAAGCTGTAGGCCAGAAAATGGAATAAATCCTTCTTCTTCCTCACTCTGAACATCTATACTACAGAAATACATACATGAGTATAAGAATATTGTATGAATGTTCACCACAACATTGTTTAAAAAGTGAGAAATGAGAACTAAAATGTCCAGCAATAGGAAAGGGATTAACTAAAAGAAGACACATTTATTCTATACCACAACCATTAAGAGAACACAGCTGAACAATATATACTGGTGTGGAAAGATCTCCATGACATTCAAGGTGTGAAAAACTCAAGTTGTAGAGCAATTTTGTGGTGTGCTATTATTTATGAAAAACTAAAAACTATATGACTATACATGTACATATCTGCTAAAGTATACATGAAAGATAAAAGGGTATATGCCAAAACTATACTGTGATTACCTCTAGGGACAAAAGTAGGATGAGCTTGGGGAAGGAGAATAAAAGAGATCTTACTTTTGACTCTCTATAGCTCTGCACCTTTTAAATGTTTATAACGAAAACTTATTCCTATATTAAAAAGGACTTCAATCTCATCCAGCCTTGTGGTTTGCAGATCTTTAACCTGCCATGACGGCAAAGAATGCAAGAATCACAAAAAGAAAAGATTAAAAATTTCACATTTGGAAGAAACCTCAGGGATGTTCTGGTTCAATCCCCCAGAACGTCATGAGCACAAAACAGTACAGGGGCGATAAACACCCTCTCACCTCTGAGGCCTACTTCCCACCACATTTTGTTATCGAAACTTTGTATTTCCACAGAGACCAAGTGCTTTCTGTTCAACCCAGCCTCCACACTTTCTCCCCCTTCCCATTTACTGGCATAAAATACACTGCCTGCCTCCCCTCCCCTTCTACCTTTTAGCTACACTGGTGTAAAAAAATGTAAAACAAACAAACAAAAAAATTATGAAATAACTGTGGTGTGTTAAAGATAGAAGAAAAACTGGAAATCTGATTCCACATGTTTGGTAATTGCTTGGGTTGGGGGCTGGAGGAACAGGGGACCACTTTGGGAGGAAGGAATAGCATTCTGCCCAGATCGCCTCTATCCCATGGAGACCATGTTTTGGGGATGGGAGCTGGCATCTGGTGACCCTTCAACTCTTCTGGCCAGGTGCTTTACTGTCAATTTTTATGGAATGCAAAGGTTCCCCCTACCCCTTAAAACCTTACACAAACTTCTACATCTTATACAAAAAACAAATAAAAAGAAGCTAAGACATAGTTAAAAATAACAAAATAAAATAGGGCAGAGGGAAAGAACTTCACTAAGATATGGGACGGTGCCAGACAGAAACAAACAAATTAAGCCCCCAACTCTTGATACACCTTTGGTCTGAGATCTTAGGAAGTTCAGCTTATCACTCATCTTTAACATGTACAAATAAGAACAACTCAAAGCATGAAGTACTCAGGAATAAATATAACCAACGACACAAAAGACCCATATGAAGAAAACTACAAAACACTATTACAAGAAACCAAAAAAGACGTATATAAATGCTCGTGCACAGAAGACTTAACATTGTGAAAATAGCAATACTCAAAGTGATCTACAGATACAATATAATCCAGATATAGAGTCCATCATCCTTCTATAAAGAAATGGAAAAGCCAGTCACTGACTTTATATGGAAAGGAAAAAGACTCTGAATAAGTAAGTACTAGTAAAGAAGAAAAACAAAGTAGGAGGCCTCGCAGTCCCCAATCTCAAAACCACTATACCATGGTATTAAAACAGTCTGGTACTGTTACAAGCACACAGAGACCAATGGAACAGAACTGAGAATCCAGAAGTAAATCCATCAACCTATGGACAGCTGATCTTTGAAAAAGGCTAAAACTCATTATTTGGGGAAGAGATGAACTGTTTAATAAATGGGGCTGGCAAAACTGGGTATCTATTTGCAGAAAAATGAAACAGGACCCATATCTCTTACCATATACAAAAAATGAAGTCAAATTAGATCAAAGATCTGAACATAAAACCAAAAACCATAAAGACCATCAAAGAAAAAATAAGAATAAACTCAGGACCCCTAATTTAGGACATAAATACACTATTAAATATAACTAAAAATATACAAACACCAGAAGACAAAATAGATGACTGGGACCTCCTAAAAATTAAGACACTTTTGAGCAGCTAAAGATTTCATCAAAAGAGTAAAAAGAGAACCCAGAATAAGAAAGTTTTCACAATGACATATCTGACAAGGGGCTAATCTCTAATATTTAGAGAAAACTTCAATACCTTAACAACAAAAAGACAAATAATACAATTAAAAAATGGTCAGAGGACATGTAGATACTTCACTGAAGAAGACATTCAGGCAGCTAACAAACACATGAAGAAATTCTCATGATCATTAGTCATTAGAGAGATGCAAATTAAAACAACAAGATATCACCTCACCCCAGCACTAACAGCAAAGTTCAAAAAAACAGAAAACAACAAATGCTCATGAGGTTATGGAGAGACTGGAACCCTCATATACTACCAGTAGACTGTAAAATGGTGCAACCACCTGGGAAATGGTATGGTGTTTCCTCAAAAAGCTAGAAATAGAAATGCCATACAATCTAACAATCCCACTACTAGATATATATCCTATAGAAATAAGAGTCATGACATGAACAGATAAATGTATACCAATGTTCATCAAAGCACTCACAATAGTAGAAAGATGGAAACAACCTAAATGCTGTTAACAGAGGAACAGATCAACAAACTAAGGTATATACACACAATGGAATAGTATAACATTAAAGAACAATGATGAATCTGTGAAACACCTCATAACATAGATCAACTTAGAGGCCATTATGCTGAGTGACATTAGCCAATCACAAAAGGACAAATACTGTATGAGACCACTATTGTAATAAGTCAAGAAAAGCATTTCACAAAAAAAAAGAAACATCCTTTGATGGTTACCAGGGGTGGGTGTGAAAGGGAGAATAAACCACCAACTAGAGGGAAGACACATATTAACATGAGTGAAAGGAGAAAAAAAGTTAAAATAAATACAATTCTCCCACCTGGGATGCTGTTTTACCTCGTCTCAGACGGGTCAACATTGGCCTGTTCTTTAAGACTGAATTTAAAAATTTTAAACAATCTAAGTCATTTTCCTTTACTCTAAATAACGTAAATTCTTGTTTCAGTTAGACAAATCAGCAAAATCTTATTTATGGTTAATCTCTTATCTATTGAAATGTTTTGCTATAATGTGGGAAAATGTAAATCTTTTTCATGATTTCTATCAATGTGAGATATAATTCTGACTTTTAAAAAAATAAGACATTGTCAAATCGTTACAAGTGTCAGAATATTTGCCATCAATTTCCATTACTTACCACATACAAGGTGAGACAACAGCTAGAGAACTAGGCCAGGGTGTGCACTGCATTGGAGCTGTGCTGCTCTACACAGCACCTCCATTACAGACACCACGCTACCATTACCTGTTGACTTGGTTTCCCTGCCGAGACTACTGTGCGTGCCCCACCCATGTCTGGTTCATGCTTATGGACTCTGTGGAGTGAAGAGTGTCAGGTAATGTCCCTGGCCAGGCTGCTCAGAGGCCACTTACCATACAGGACCAGCAGGAGGCTTTTCACAATGCCTCTGAGGGGGCCAAGACTTATCTGATTGGTGCTGGCAAATTCAGAGAGTTGAGCCTGAAACCGTTCCACCTGCACAAGGAAAGAGTACAAACCAGCCTTTACTTTCTGAGCATCTCAGGACCACAGACCCCCCACTCAGGAACTCTCTTTATCACAAAGTACTTCACCTCTTTTGGCTCCATGAGGAAGTGGAAAAGCACTTCTGTCAGGGCTGAGAACTGCTGTGAAGAGAGTAACACAGAACATCAGCACAATTCCTATTCTCTCATCAGTGTTCACCAGTCCATCCAACCACAGACTCTTGAGAGAAAAAGCAAAATCCCAAAATCCGACAAGTATCAACCCCACGCAGGGTTCACATTTTTAACCCTGACAGCCTTTTTCTCCTCCTTCTCTTTCACAATCGTGGCTTCAAAAGTTGTGAAACTTCTCAGTAGCCATAAATGAACTCTATCAAGTTCATTTTAAGAAAATGTTTTACTATTGCCCAAGAATTAGCCAGCAAGTCTTCAGAAACAGTATCACTGTGTATAGTTGCTAGGCTTTCAAGTGATTTCAGAATCAGGATACAGACTGAGTACAGTCCCTGGCCACAAGCTTACTGATGACAAGACTAGGTCTACCTCCTCCTTGCTGTCCTGGACCAGAGTTGGCATATGTTATGAACAACAAACCACGGGAAGAAGAGAGGCAGAGTGGTTATGAGTGTGGGTTTTGGAGTTAGATCTAGTTTGAATCATCTCTACTGCCTATAACTAGCTGTGTTTCTGGGCAAGTTAGGAATGAACAAGAAAATGTTGAGGAGACAGGGATTGTGGCATAGCAGGCAAAGGCTGACAACAGAGGGAGGGTATAAGGATTACCAGGGCCATGGAACCTGCTTCCCAAATCTGTTATATGAAGCAGAAATAGCCTCCTCCACAAGGCATTCTGGTGGTGCACTGACTGCTAACCAGAAGGTCGGCGTTTAAAGCCACCAGCTGCTGCTCTGTGGAAGGAACATGGGGCAATCTACTTCCATGAAGATTTACCTCCTCAGAAACCCAGAGTGAGAGTCACTGTAAGTTGGAATCAACTCATGGCAGTGAGTTTGGTTTGGTTTCGTTTATAGCAAGGGGGAGGTCATAATACAGAGGAAGTATGCACTAAACTCAAAGCAGAGATTCAAAAAGAAAACATAATTATGTCCCAGAATACAAAGCATAAATTTAGGAATAGGATAATTAAATCATGGGGACAAAAGAAAGTTTGCACTGTCTCATATATTTTTGGACGCTTGTCCAAATGACACAATGATATTCATAATATATTACACAAAAAAAGTTTTGTTTCGGGTATGAATGACATGATCTCATTGCTTTAAAACATACTTTTAAATGTAGTATCCCAGCCATGCCATGCCAGACTTATAAGCTACGGAACTATGAACTAATAAACAAGTGTTGTTTTAATAAAAAAAAAAAGAAAGTAATGTCCCAATAAAATATATGTATATATTTTGAAACAATAATTAATCTTAAAGTTGCAAATGTTCAAAATACCCACCATTAGTGCCAATATACGAGCAATTATATCATCTGAAAAACATTTATATTTTTGGGGGACACTTGGGAGGTGTATGTTGAGGGGCTGTATGTGCAGGTGTATGTGCACAAGGGTCCAAATATACACACATACACACACACACACAGTCTAAAGCAGAAATCGCCAGAATTTCAACGATAGTTACTTCAGTGTGGTAGGATTTGGGGCAATATTATTTTCTTCTATTTCTTCTGTTTGTCTCTGTCTTTTCTGGGGTTTGCCCTCGCCAGTAAACAGTAAATTTTAACCTTTTACTCCACACTGTCTTGGAGCAACAGTCTCTGATTTATGTGTTAATCCTCTTTTCTCTTTATTGGCATCATATCCTCATTTTCCATGCTCCTTACTGATGCGCACTGTGGCACAACAGGAAAAAACTGAGGCATTAGAGTTCAAAAGACCCAGATGTGAATCAGTGTCCTGCGACTGATGCTACTGACCAGCCATGTGACCTTGGGCAAGTTACTAAGCATCTCTGTCTCAGTCCTCATAGGGAAAACAGTTAATAACATGTAGCTTCTAGAACAGTACTCAAGATGGCACATGCAAGGCCCCAGCAGAGGGCCAGGCTAGAAGCTAAACAGTGGCAGTTATGATCGTCAGAAGTAGGTCCTTATACCATCTACCCACCTTCCTGGAGCAATACACTGTTTAAAAGAAAAGAAAAAGACTGTGTGAGATGCTTTAGCTCATAGTCCCCGAAGTTGTCTACGAAGCGTGTCTGTCAAATGCATCACTTCTCTGCTATGACACACTAAACTCTACCCCACCCCCAACAGGGCTCTGTATTATTTTATTCTAAAATATATTTTAAGATAGAAAGTTAGTTCTCATAAATTTTTAAAGTTATATAGCACATGGTTGTTTCAAAACTGTATTATTTCCTCTTTCTTCCCTTCTTTAGTCCTACTCTCCACAGGAAGTTTCTGCTAATACCGTCTGTGATGGTCTTTCTGCCATTTTATTTTTATTTTAGTTCTTTTATATACAAATGGGATCCCTCTGAATCATCCCCCTGCATCTTGCCTTTTTTCACCTTAATTGTATCCTGGAGATCAATCCATGTCAGTGGATATAAATCTACCTGGTACTTTTAACAACTGCACTGTACAAAACAACCAACCAACCAACCAAAAAAAAAAAAACCTGCACTGTCTCCCATTATAAACCAGCTGTCATCAAGTCGATTCTGACTCATGGCGACCCCAGGTGTGTCAGAGTAGAACTGCTCCACAGGGTTCTCAGTGGCTGTGATCCCTCGGAAGCAGTTCCCTAGGCCTTTCTTCCAAAGTGTCTCTGGCAGAATTCCAACTGTCAACCTTTCAGTTAGTAGCTGAATGCATAACCATTTGTTCCACGCGGGGACTGTGTCTGTTCCACTATATAGATTCAGCATTATTTAACCAGATCCCATAAAATGGACTTTAGGGATTGCTATTGTTACATTGTGACAATGAATATCTTCCCACATATTTACTTAAGTACATTTACAAGTATATCTATAACATAAAATCTTTAAATGTATCCTAGGTCAAAGGGTATACGGGTGTTTTAAATTCTGAGAAAAGGTTGCCAACTTGTCTTGCAAAAAAGTTGCACTGATTTAGACTCCTACCAGCCAATGTCATACAAGTGCCTTTTGCAAAATTTCATCAACATTCCCTGAGAGCACTTTCCCCAATCTTGACCCAGGGGTTATCTTTCTACAGTATTTATGATATCGGGTATCTAAGCTTGTATAAGGAGCTCTGGTGGCATAGTGCCTAAGGCATTTGACTGCTAACCAGAAGGCTGGTGGTTCAAACCCACCAGCCACTCCTCGGAAGGAAGATGGGGCAATCTACTTCCACAGTGATACTGCCTGGGAAACCCAAGGAGGGGTCGCTATGAGTCGGGTCCGACTCGATGGCACATAACAACAAAAACCTTGTATAACTGCTGTTTCTATACAGTAAAAACAAGAACAGTCAGAACTGCTTTAAGAAAGTGCCCCAAAATTGTTTTTGAATTTTCTTTTAAATTTTTTGCTACAAATCTGTGAATTGTCAGATCTTTGGCCAACTGTATCTCCTATGCTGCCCAAGGCTTTTGAATAAATAGAGTGGCTGAGAAGTTCCCCAACAGCTTTCCACTTCCAACCTAGCATTCAACCTCAGCTCAACCACCTGGTCAGGTCTCATTCCCCACCTCTCTCCTCAAGAGGGGCCTCAAGCTGTTACACCCACCCCTATCTCCAATTTTCCAACTCCTCCTTATCTTTCAGAGTCCTGCTCATATCACTTTCTTCTTAGATTCCACGACACTCCTAGAGAAACAGGGCCCTACCCAGATTCTCAACTTTTGAGACCCTCTCACAGCCTTGCCTGAAGGCACTAGGAATTTTCAACCTTGATAAAGAATACAATTGCTACTTAGCAGAAGAGGTTCTTGTAAGGCTTTGTATCCTCATAGTATTTTAAACAGTAAGGACACAGTAAATATTGTTGAATAAATCTCTAAACAAAAATAGCACTTTCCTTACTCTTTGCCTTTGTACCTACAAAGCTGCCTCACATCAGTGACTATCCAGGTACATCAGAATCTTAATGATTCTAACCAGTAAACATATGAAAAGATGCTCAAGATCATTCTAAGTCAAAGAAATGCAAATCAGTAAAAACACTATCAGCCTTTCAGAGCTGAAAAATATAAGTTTAATCAAAGATGCAAGGAAACAATGGGTACAAGGGACTAATGGACCACGTGAATCCCAGATTCCATGACTCTGAGACCAGAAGAACTAGATGGTGCCAGGCTGTCGCTGCTGACCACTCTGAAAGGGATCATAATAGGAGGAGGTCCTGGATAAAGTGGGAGAAAAATATACAACAAAACTCAAAATCATAAAAAAAAAAAAGACCAGGCCTACTGGTCTGATAGACACTAATGGAACACACATACCTGTACCCTGCCCTGCCCCCCCTCCCACATACACACACTATGACTCTTAGATACCCTTCAGGCCCAGATCAAACTTACCTCCATGGCTCAACTTTCAGGAAAAAACAAAAAAACAGGCCTATGTTGTTGTTATGTGTCATCAAGTCAGCTCTAATTCACAGTGACCCCATGTACAACAAAACAAAACACTGTCCAGTCCTGTGCCATCCTCACAATCATTGCCATACTTGGGTCCTTCATTGCAGCCATTGTGTCAATCCACCTTGTTGAAGGTCTTCCCCTTTTTTGCTAACCCTATACTTCACCAGGGAGCTCTGGTGACACAGTACCTAAGGCACTGACTGCTAACCAGAAGGCTGGCGGTTCAAACTCACCAGCCACTCCTCAGAAGGAAGACTGGGCAATCTACTTCCATAGAGATACTGCCTCAGAAACCCAAGGGGGGGTCGCTATGAGTCAGATCCTACTTGATGACACTGAGTTTGTTTTGGTTTTATGGCTACTTTACCAAGCATGAAATCCTTTTCCACGGACTAGTCCCTTCTGATAACATGATCAAAGCACAAGAGATGAAATCTGGCCATTCTCACTTATAAGGAGAATCCCAGCTGTACTTCCTCTAAGACAGATTTGTTTATTTTTCTAGCACTTCATGGCACATTCAATATTCTTCATCAACACCACAACTGAAATGCAT